TTGCCTTCAATCAGCTGAATTCAACTCTGATTCTTGGTTGTCAGGCGGTGAGATGATGTTTTGGCTCCTGGTGGGGTTGGCCTGACCATGCTTAATGGTTCTTTTTTCTTGCTGGGTACCAAGCACGTCAAACTCATGCCTCGTTTGACGCGCTTGGTGTACACTGTCTGCAGTGGACTCACCTCAGTTACTTTGCTCGGGATCAAAGGCAGCATGCAGGGGCACTGGCCTGATAAGTGAAACCTAGAAAAGAAAAACTTGACTCTCTGTTCCCACATAAGAAACATAACTCTCTGCTCCCGTATGTATGTGTAGGTTAGGATTTCAAAATATGATTATATTTCAGATTAACTCCGGTGCTCTATCTATCAGATTATAAGTCCCCTCCCCCTCCATCACGTTCTCATCTTGCCGCCCCCAAGAAGCAGACCATCTTTAAAAAGTGAAGTGTAGCCCTGAGTGGTTTGGCTCAGTGGATAGAGCGTTGGCCTGTGGACGGAAAGGTCCCAGGTTCGATTCTGGTCAAAGGCATGTACCTTGGTTGCAGGCACATTCTCAGTAGGTGGTGTGCAGGAGTAGGGGGGTGTGTAGAAGGCAGCCAGCCGATCGATGTTTCTCTCTCATCGATGTTTCTAACTCTCTCTCCCTCTCCCTTCTTCTCTGCAAAAAAAATCAATAAAATACTTTTTTTTTTTTTTTTAAAGTGTACATTGTGCTCTGCATCTGAGAACAGGGCTGTGCTGCTTGCATTGTTTGTCTGAGATAAGTGGCTCTAAGTACCTACCTAGTTTGTGTGGCAGCCTGGCACGTCCATGGCATACTCAGCCCCACATTGGGCATCTTATGTGTCGTTTGAGCTCAGCCAGGTTCAGTGAGCCCGAGTCCGGGCGGTGAAAGTTGAGAAAAGACAATGAGAAGAAAGCTGGGTCTCAGAGGGATGCTGTCCTCTCTGATGGAGAGAGAGAGCACCATGGACTAGAAGCCTTGTCTTTATTATTATTTTTTAAAATTTATTTAAAAAATATATTTTATTTATTTTTTACAGAGAAGAAGGGAGAAGGAGAGAGTAGAAACATCGATGAGAGAGAAACATCCATCAGCTGCCTCCTGCACACTCCCTAATGGGGATATGCTCTCAACCAAGGTACATGCTCTTGAGCGGAATCGAACCAGGGACCTTTAGTCTGCAAGCAGACACTCTATCCACTGAGCCAAACTGGTTATGCAAGCCTTGTCTTTATTTTATAGTCAGATTCCAGGAGACAAAATCAGGGCGTGGTCAAGATGTTTACAACCTTCTAATCTAGTGGGTTTCCAATCTACTCAATTACATGCACCTGACCTGCTTTGTTCTGCCCTCCGGCCTGCCTCTGACATCCCCGCTCCCACCCAAGGATGCCGCTGCCATGCCCTGTCCACAGTCCCTGTCACTGCTCCCTCTTCCTCCTGATCAGGGTAGACACAGCTCCCCAGCACCCCCACCCCAAAACTACCGCGATTACCCCAGGGTGCAATCTCCCCAGGCGGAGGACAGAGTTTGGGGCCCACTGCAGCGGGAGGGGGGGTGCATTGGCGAGAACCAAACCTCACAGACCCCATCCTGGCCGGCACACTGCCGGCTCCAAACCTCCCGGCGTCCCTATCCTCCCCAGAGGGCGAGTAGTCCCACTTGTTTATTTTCTCTTTAGTTTCCATTGCCCTAGGAGCAGTATCCATGAAGAAATTGCTTCAGCAAGTGTCTGAGATTTTCTTGCCTGTGGATTCCTCTAGTATTTTTATGGTTTCCCATCTTATGTTTAAGTCCTTTGTTCATTTTGAGTTTCTTCTTGTGTATAGTGTAAGTTTGATGGTCTAGTTTCATTTTTTTGCATATATCTGTCCAATTTTCCCAACACCATTTATTGAAGAGACTGTCTTGACTCCATTGTATGTTCATGTCTTCTTTGTTGAATATTAATTGAGAATAGTGGTTTGGGTCAATTTCTGGGTTATCTAGACCGTTTCTGATTTAGCTGAATGTTTTCTAGCCCAGTGAAGCACTCCAACTTCTTTTTCAGGTAATTGTCAACAACACAGCAGTAAATATCAACATGAAGCAGGTTATTATTGTAGATCACACAGGGAGAACAAAGGGTAAAACGTTTAACTGCATCAGTGTTTGACTATATTCTAGACAGTGAGAAAACCTGAAGTCATTTTCAAGGTCCACAATTTCTTACTTCTTTTTAGTCTGGTCATTTTTAAGCTTTCTAAATCTCTGTTTTCTGGCTAATGAAAAGAAAATAGGATTCCACTGAGTCTCTTATCTACCTACTCCAGGACTTCTGTGAGGGTCAAATGAGAGGAGGCACATGAAAACGCTTCACAGACATTCGGTTAAAGTGTAAAATGTTTGCATCTGGCTATAAAGCAAGTTGTATTTCTGGGTTGAAGAAACTCTAAGGGAGCTACATAGTCACTAGAGAGAAAAAGCTGAGCATTGCTATGTGATGTCATTACCCGGTGCCCACAGTGACCGTTTCTGGGCTGGGTTGGGTTGTGGGCCACATTTTGTGCCATGGGGTCTCAACAGCATTGGCTGTGATTTGGTGGGTTGTCACTCTAGGGTGATGGGGTGGCCTGTGTCCCATTTGGGGGAAGCTGAGTGTTGGTTTGTTTGTGCCAAGTCCGTGGTGCTGTTTCTCTGTAAATGGCCAGTGCACATCACGGCAGATCCTATGTTGAGTGTCTGCCCCCTGGTGGTTAGTGAGTGTCATAGTGACCAGTCAGACAGTTGGACACTTAGCATTATTAGCCTTTTATATAGATTCTATGGTTGATGGACTTCTGGGTTGTGACCAATTAGGGATATTGTAAATAGACTTGCTGTGAACATGTCTTTGGTGGACATATTTTTGTTGGGTATATCTTACTTCCTGGAAGATACTGAGAAGTGGAATTGCTGAGTCATTAGCTTAAGTAAATTCTGCCAAAGAGCTTCTCCAAGTGGTCTTAGCAATGACATTCCCAGCAGAAGGAATGGGAGTTCCAGCTGCTCTACGTCTTCTAAAGCACTTGGCATTGCCAGCCTCTTTCAGCTTAGCCATGCTAGCGAGGATGAGTGTCATCTCATGATGGTTTTATTTTGCTTTTCTCTGATGATTAATGATGTTGAGTATCGTTTCATGTGCTTGTTGGTCCTTTGATATCTTTTGTTTGTGGTGTATGTGTGTGTGTGCACACACATGTGTGAAGTAAGTCTATAGTTTAACCAGCATTGTAACAGAGAGTGCATGAGATAATGCATGCGAATATCATACCTAACATCTTCATAACATTGGTTAAAAACTCATTTAACTTATATTCTTGAGCTTTGATTTTAGTTTTTGTTATTGGCTTCTTTATCTCTTCGGCTGCAAGAGGTGAGGGATTCCTCATAGTTCAGTCATAGATAGTTCCTGGTTCTATGGCCAAGGCCATTGTCAATAAATAATGACTCTGAGTTTATTCTTCTAAATTCTCTCTTACATTTCGATGTCACTCCACCCCCAATACTTGCCTTTCGTGCTATTCGATGTCAGAAAACATTTGATCACTAAAGCCTGATTTTCTAGAAGATCAGATTATTCCAGATGAGAACAGTAATAATTATATTAACTACTATTTTACCAAGACACACATGCTGCCGTAGTCACTTTTATAACCAGCTGATCCTCATGCTGGGAAACGAATCTGATAGAGCCCAGGTCATATCCTCACACATCCCTGCTACAAAGGAGTCTGAGAAGGTCCATTTCTTGCTTGCTCATGGAAGAGGGGAGGGATTGGAGGAAGGGGTGTTCATAGATGGTAGACAGCCCCAAGACAGGACAAAATCCACTGTGGGATCCATATTTTAATTTTTATGGCAAAAAGTTTAAAAATTGCTGGTTTCTTATCATGCTAACATCATTATTATCATGAACTAGTTTAAATGAGTTTTTAACCAATGTTATGAAGATGTTAGGTATGATATTCGCATGCATTATCTCATGTACTCTCTGTGATCCTAGTAAGTAGATGCTATTATTCTTCTTTTCTTACAGATAATGAAACACCTGTGAGGTACTGTGGACAATATCCCCATCTGCAGATGAAACCGAGCTTCCCTTTATAAACTTACAAAGAAGCTAGAAGTCAGTCCTATGTGAACCAGTCTGGGGCAGGTGAGGGTGTGGGTCTCTCTAAAAGTCATGGACTTCACCATGTGGTTTGAGATCACTGAGCAGAAGGCCTTACCCTGCTCATTCTCGCCCCCTCCCATCATTGTACTGCTGGATTTGATGAGTCCCTTGCAGGTTAAGGGATTTGTGCCAGATTTCATGAGTCCATCTTTCTTTTTATATAAAAAAAAATTAAATTAAATTAGATTAAATTAAATTAGAGAATTAAAAAATATTTTTATTTAGTTCAGAGACCAAAGGAGAGGGAGAGGGATAAAAACAACAGGGATGAGAGAAAATCATCTATCAGTTGCCTCTTGCACATCCCCTACTAGGGATTGAGCTGGCAACTCAGACATGTGCTCTTGACCGAAATTGAACCTGGAATCCTACAGCCCGAAGGCTGATGCTCTAATCCATTGAGCAAAACCAGCTAGGGCTGAGTCCCTTCTCCTAATCCAGGCCCTTCCTGTTGCCTCTTCCCGGATTTTTAAGTCCGCAGAGTCTGCAGATGATGGTCAGGTGGGGCCTTGGCACCTGCTGGGAGGGAAAGGCATGGGAGGACTCAAGCAGCAAGATGCCAGGAAGGACTGGCAAAAGAGGAGGCAGGGCAGCAGCAGGTTTCTGTGGCTCTAACTCCCAGAAACTAGAAGAGAAGACTCCGGGTCATCACAGAGGTGGGGTGGAAGCCTGCAGGAGGTATCAGTGACATCACAGGGGTGAGGTGACCTGAAGATGGTGGCCTGATCCTGGGTGTGCCCATATGGAGGAAAGGGCGGTGAGAATGTGGAGGGACATCAAGTGACTCAGAGGGTCTCCCAGCCACATACTTAAATGTGCAGGGAGCGCAGAGAGACAGCAAAGGGTAAGACCAGCTCTTGCTCAGCCTACGACTGGAGTCTGAGGTCAGGTTCCAATCCCAGCTCCATTCCAGCTTTGCTGATCTATCAGAAGACCTCTGAGCCCAGAGTGTTTTCATCTTTGAGGTGGGAAGGTAAGTGACTGGGTTTCCAGAGTCTCTACTCTGATCATATCTGGCTCTCTTCACCCTGAAGGTCTGTTGTATAGGCCACCCACAGGGCTGGGAAGTTTTGGCTGAGTGGGTCGTGGTAGCCATGGTTTGGAGGTGCAGCCTTCACAGGTACTTCACCTGGCCTGAGATCTGAGCTGAGTTCTGCTCTTCTCCAAGGGATTTACGTGAAGCCCAAGACCCCATAGGTCCTGGTCTCCCTGTGCTGGGCCTGAGGAAACAGGAGATGAACGGCACCAGGTGAGTCTGGGGGTGCAGTAGGACCCATGGGTGCAGGCCCAACTGCTGAATCAGAAGATTCAGTCTGCAGGCAGCCCTCACTTCAGTCTTAGGGGTGGGTGGCCAGCAGCCCTCACTTCAGTCTCAGGGGTGGGTGGCCATCAGCAGGTGCAGTGACTGCTTTAGGCAGCCCAGATGCCAGTCCCAGCTCAGCTACTGACCACTTGGTGACCTTGGGCAAGTCCTTTCCTCTCTCTGGGTGACTTGTCCACATGTGTAAAGTGGGATGTTGGGCTAGGTGATCCCCTGTAATCTTTAGCCCTATAATCTAAAGATTGTGGTCTCTGCACTTACCTTTTCTGTGGGTCACATTTCTCATCTGTGAATGGGAACATGTGAGAGAAGGAGCCATGAAGAGGATGCCAACCACCTATGGTAAGGGGTCTTTTGAGCATCTCCCTTGATCCCAAACTAGGTCTCTGAAGCAGGCTGGGCCTGGTCTGTAGTCCATCCTACAGATGGGAAAGTTCACGAGGTCTCCATGGAGCTCTATGTGGCTTCATGGGAGCGCCGAGTACTTACTGGCCTAGGAACTCTGGCTTCAGGGGCCAGCAGGGCGCTAGGAGGAGTGTCCTCAGAGCAAGGCCTTTCCAGAATGCTGGGAGTGTCCCTGGCAGAGAGCTCTGATGGACAGTCGGGGACGAGCACCACCCTCAAGGACTGGAAGGAGAAGGAAGGATGCCCTGGAAGCTCGTTGTTGACGGATCTCATCCCTCTGGGAACTGAGGAATCTGCCATGGAGGTGGTCTTGAAGAAGATCCGGGAGCTCTCTGATTCGGTGAGGGGAGAGGAGGGAGGGGGGGGGCAAGGTTATGGAGTGGGGAGTGGAGAGGGTGGGTCTCAGTCCCTACTTAGGCGGGAACAAAATAAATCTTTCTGTTTGTATTTTATGAGTCAGATCCTAGGTCTTACTGAATAGCTGTGTACCCTGGTGGCATGGAATAGTTCCCCTGTCCCTTTCAAGTCCTCCACCAGCCCCTGGATTTCATCCTGTGCCAAGAGTTCCGGGTGAGGGTTGGAGAGTCCTGGTGCCCATTTGGTCTACAAATCTTGTTGCCTTCTTGCCTTCTTGTTGTTTTCCTCTTTTCCTAACAGGGAGCACAGTAGTACTTACCGCATGGAGACACTGTGAGGATTCAATGAAATGACACAATGCCTAGCCATTCTTGCCTCTCTCTCTCCCTTGACAGGACCAACGGGACCCCTTCATGGTGGCCGACTTGGGTGTGTTGGCCAGCCGCCATCAGGCTTTCTGCCAGGCCCTGCCAAGGGTCTCGCCCTTCTATGCAGTGAAGTGTAACAGCAGCCCCTGGGTGCTGCGTGTCCTGGCTGCCCTGGGCACCGGCTTCGACTGTGCCAGCCAGGTGAGCCTGGGGCACGGCCAGTTACCTCACTCAAAGGCCTGACAGCTCCTAGAAAAAAAGGCTAATTTCCAGGAGTCCAGAATTGGGGACAGCAGCCCATAAACAGTGGCTGATGTATGTGGTGCCCAGTTGTTTGTGAAAGAATAAATGAATGAAGTAGGTGTGGTCCACCCTCTTCTGGTCTAGGTGATGAGGGCAGTCAGCCTGAGCTAAGGAGTGAAGGAAACACACACTTTAATCCACAGACACTGTTCTGTCCTGGCACAGCCATTTCACTTGAGTATCAGTTTCTTGGTCCTTAAAATGGGTTTAGTCCTCACTGGTTTGGCTCAGTGGATAGAGTGTTTGCCTTTGGACTGAAAGGTCCCAGGTTCGATTCCGGTCAAGGGCATGTGTCTTGGTTACCGGCACATCCGCAGTAGGGGGTGTGCAAGAGGTAGCTGATTGATGTTCTCTCTCATTGATGTTTCCAACTCTCTATATCTCTTCGTTTCTCTCTGTAAAAAATAAAAAATATATATATTTTAAAAAAATAAAATGGGTTCAACTATGTATTCCTTAGAGCAGTCTAGAAGCTTAAATAGCACAATATGTGCCCAGCGCTGGGCCAGATGCACAGTAGGGGCTAATAGGGGACAACCCCTCATGCCCTGGGTTCCTGTGCCCAAAAAGCAGGGCAGCAGGGAGGCAGCTCCTTACTGTGGCTTTGCCCCCGCAGGTGGAGCTGGAGCAGGTGCTGGGCCTGGGCGTGGCCCCCTCACGCATCATCTATGCCCACCCCTGCAAGCCCATCTCCCACCTGCAGTATGCTGCCCGCCATGGGGTGCAGCTCCTGACCTTCGACAGTGAGGAGGAGCTGACCAAGGTGGCCCAGCACCACCCTGGGGCCAGGTGAGGCCAACAGGCCTGCAGGCAGGTGGGGCCTCAGGGAGGAGATGAAGGCTGTTCCGTGGTAACTAGGAGAAGCCTTAGCAGCAGCGAACAAGAATGTGGGTCGGGTGTCCCGGTGCCTCCCCGGTGCCGACTCGTGCCAAATAAAGGTTTCCCGTGTCTGCAGAGACGTTGGCAGAGCCTGGCATTAGGAGGTCTGGAGTCAGCAACCTCGTGGAAAAAGCACTCTCATAGGATTCAGGAAGTCCAGGGCTCACATTTCTGACTTACTTGTCACATCTGTGTGTTCCTGAGAAAGTTATTTAACGTCTGTGATCCTATGACAGAAGGTCTGCTGAAGGGATGTTTATAATTTTACTAGAGGCCTGGTGCATGAAATTCATGCAGGCGGGGGTGTCCTTCAGACCAGTCTGCACCCTTTGGAATCTTGGACCCCTCGGAGGACATCCCTCTTCCAATTCCGGACCAACAGCTCCTAACCTCGATTGCCCGTTATTGCCTCTGCCTGCCAGCCTGATCACCCTTAATTGCTTTCTCCTACCGACCTGATCACCCCTAACTGCTCTCCCCTGCTAGCCTAATCACCCCTAATGGCTCAGCCCTGTGGGCCTGATCACCACTAACCACCTCTGTCTTGGCCCCTGACACCGTGGCTTTGTCGCGAAGGTTGTCCAGAAGATGTCTGGTCTAATTAGCATCTTATACTTTTATTACTATTGATCCTTTCCCTGCTTTTTCTTGTCTGGGCAGAAGTATGTAAGTAGTGATGTGTTCCCTCCCTGGACCTCCAGGGATGGACAGTCCAGAGGACTGAGGCAGGGGTAGAGGGAGGGCGAAGGGAATTTGGGTGGGGGCAGAAAAACATCCAGGCCTGGGGTTCATGTGTCTAATGCCTGTCACCCTCACATCCACTCCCAGGCTGGTCCTCCGACTGTGGACCGAGGACAGCAAGAGCCTCATTCCCTCTGAGTGCCAAGTTTGGGGCCAGCCTGGAGCTGTGCGGACACTTGCTCAAGTCTGCCCGAGACCTAGGCCTGGTTGTGGTGGGAGCCAGGTAAGAGCCCGGACTTTCTCTCCTGTGAGGCAGGGCTACTGGTCCCCACTCCTGTCCCTAGCCTCTGACTAACCTGGGGGCCTTGTACCCAGTGGCTCCATGTGGTTCTCAGAAGAGGAGGTGGATGCCAGCTGCTGGGAGGGTGGGGCAAGCAAGGCACTGGCCTTGGGTGCAAAGTTTAATGGGATGCCGAAAACCTTGTACTTGAGATAAATTATGTTTTAATACAGCATTTAAATAATTAATGCAGAATAAATCCATGATGAGAGAATATAAAAATTTTAAATCAAAACAGGACTGGCATTTCTGATTTTCCTTTTGCTCCTGGTTCCAAATACTCTTTACTAATCTTGTCTTTATTTAAAGATTTTGTATTTTATTCATCATGGATATTTTTGCATCAGTGTGTTCGATCTCTTGATGGGATGTATACAGGAGGCAACCAATTGATGTCTCTCTCCCACTCGCTCTTACTCTCTCTCTAATACATGTGTGTATTACATGAAGGTTACTTCTGTTGATTGCTCAGTGCTTTGGTGCCTCTTGAATGTTGCACCTGAGAAGTGCCCTCCCTCACCTCACCCCACCTGCCCCTGATTGGGTCCTCTGCCCTCCCAGGTGGGTGGTTTGTGATTTGGGGTTCAGATCACAGGCATCCCAGGGAGGAGAAGAAGGGGAAGCTTTAGGAGGTATGGCTAAGAGAGGTGAATGCCACACAACCACGAGAGACCCAACTCACGGACTGTCATGTTGTATGTGTCTCTGGGGTTCCCATGTGCACAGTCAAGGCTGTGGTTTCTGTGGGTGCCCATGAGTTCCATGTAGTCACACATGTCTCCGTGTCTGTGTCTGTCTGGCTGTGTGGCTGTTTCCCGATGTGCACCTCCTCCTGCTGATGCTTGTGTTTCCTCATATGTTCCTGCCCTGACACTGCATCTGCGTTCAGCTTCCACGTGGGCTCTTCCTGCCAGGATCCACACAGCTTCACACAGGCCATCGCCGACTGCCGGCGCATGTTCGAGATGGGCCATGGGGTCGGGCATGACATGAGCCTCCTGGACATTGGAGGGGGCTTCCCCGGAGTGGAGGGCTCTGAGCCGGAGTTTGAGGAGGTAAGAGGGAGGAGGAGAGGGCGTCTGGGAGTCCCAGCCTGGGCTCATTGCACAGAGTGTGTATTAGTGCACAGGGAGCTCTTGGCACTCAGGCATGTGGCTGCATGCAGCTGGGCTTTGTGCTGGTTGAGAGGTGTCTGACTCTACATGCGTGGCCTGTGCGCATATGTGTGTATATGTGTATGAGTATATGTGTGTGTGTGTGTGTGTGTGTGTGTGTGTGTGTGTGTGTGAGTGTGTGCATGCAGTTCTGTGCCTTCTTTAGACATGTTGGTTACCACCCTTGGTAAGGCTACCATCAGATAGAGGTGTACTTACTGTGTCCCCCACACCCAGGGGACAGTCCCCCTTTGCTGATCACCTATTGATTTCAATATTTCCGACTCAGACCTTATGGTGCTGCAGCCTGGTCACTAGGCTTGTGCCCTCAGGCACCCCTCCCCTCTGGGCCACAGTTTCACCTGTTTCCTCCCCTGCTCAAGGGGATGCTGACACCTTCCCACAGAGCTGTCAGGGGAATGAAGAGAGAAGATGCAGGGAAAGGCCCCACATAGGAACTGGCCTCACAGGGCTCGGGTCTGTCCCCACAGATGGCGAGAGTGATCAATGCTGCCCTGGCCCAGGACTTCCCCGAGGGAGCCGGCATTGAAGTCATTGCGGAGCCCGGCCGCTTCTATGTGGCATCTGTCTGCGTGGCCGCGGTCAACATCATCGCCAAGAAGGCTGTGCTGCAGCCTGGTGGGTGGGCCCGGACTGGCCTGGAGCACTCTGTCCAGCGGTCCCCAGGCCTCGGGGGCAGGAGGAGCTGAGGGTCTGAGTTCCACCTTGGGCTCCTCATTTGGGGAAAAGATGCTGTGATTTAGCCACAGGGTAGAACCTGTCAGTAACATTATTGTGCTGTTCTCAGACAGCCTGGAGGGAGGCATGGGGGTCTGTTCTCCCTGTGCCTGGAGGGGAAGTCTGAGGGCACAGCCTCCACTCCCTGTGTGCACCTCGCTGTTTCCAAGCCGGCATTTTCTAACAGGCATGTAGTTTTATAACAAAAAGATACAGTCATTAAATACTAATTTTACAGCACATACATGAAGGAAATACTGTTGGTATCATGGCCTGGAGGTTAAGGGTGACATTTGTAGGGTAACTGTAAATGATATGGAGGTCACCATCTCAGGAGGGTTTTTGATTGTTTTTATGTGGGGGATAGATTTAGGTGGGGTTGCTGTCCTCACAAAGGGACTAAGTAGAAACTCAAGTTCATGATGAGCTAGAATAGACTCACCCTCTGGGTTAGTGACCTTTACTCTGAAATTTTATGACCATCATATAACTGTTTCTAAATAATTTTTATTTTATTAAAAAATATTTTTATTGATTTTAGAGAGGACGAGAGAGGGAGAGAGAGAGAGAGAGAGAGACAGAAACATCAATGATGAGGGAGAATCACTGACTGGCTGACTCCTGCACATCCTATACTGGGGATTGAACTTGCAACTTGGGCATGTGCCCTGACCGGGAATCGAACCATGGTCTCCTGGTCATAGGTTCAGGCTCAACAACTGAGCCATACCAGCCGAGCTCTAAGTAATTTTAATCTGTTTTTTTATCCTTTGTACAAATGTCCTTTCAGTCCACAGGCTGATACTCTATCCATTGAGCCAAACTGTTTAGGGCCTCTTGCTTTGTATTAACACAAATTGTCCTAAGGCAAGGTGGAGATATACACATCAAAGGGTAGAGTTAGGTACAGAATCCATTGTCAGATTGGGGAATTACCTCCAGCTGTTCAGGTGTTTGGGCAGGAGGAGGCAATAACATGTAGCTTAAGATGCCCTGAGCTGTCTGGCAGCAAGCAATCATCCTTTTCAGGTTTGGGGAAATGCCTTTATCCATTTCCAACAGGTGATAATATATGTGACTCAGCCTTTGTTGAGTCCCCAAGTTCTACTAACCTTTTGATAAAACCCTTGCAATTATGACATGCTGGAATTGGCTCTGGCAAATTTGGTTTTCCGGGGAGGACTTGAGGAGGCAGGCAAAACTAAGTAGGCAGGTTTGGGGTTGGCTACTTTGAGTAATTTCCATGGCTGTTGTCTGTAAAGACAGCCCCTAATTGCCTGGTCCCTCAGCCCAGGATAGTTAGGGGAGGGTAGTGGTTCACCCTTGTGAGAGCTTAATCAAGCAGGGGGCTGGCAGGTGCACACCCTTTCTGGTTGGTCCATGTGTGCAGGTGTCTTCCTGCCTAGGAAGTAGGCAGCCCTGGGTGGAGTGATGTCTCCAGGGTCAGCAAGGCCCCAGATGCCAGAGCATCAGGATAAAGAAAACAGAAAATATGAGTAACCCAGGTGGCCCTTTGAGGAGGGAAATGGACCTGTTAGCAGTCTGCTAATAGCACCCTTATGGCATCATGTCATAAGAAGGCATTTTGCTCTGAGTTTTGCCTCACACTGTGTCAGGGAACCTGGTCAAGGTGAGGACAGAGGACCTGGGTCCTGATCTGGGGCAAATCCCAGCCCTGCCACATTGTCCTGTGTAACTTCTGGCAAGACTCAGTTTTCTCAACTGTAGTGTTCCATGTCCCTATTCAGAGTGTCATTAGCACAATGGTCGGAAAACTCATTAAATATCAACAGTACAATGATTGAAATTCCTTTAAGAGCCAAATTTTTAAATTTAAACTTCTTCTGGCACCAATTCTTCAAAATAGACTCACCTAGTCCGTGGTATTTTGTGGAAGAGCCACACTCAAGGGGCCAAAGAGCCGCATGTGGCTCATGAGCTGGAGTTTGCCAACCAGGGCGTTAGGAGAATGAAATAATTTGATTTGTGTAGACAGGTTGAAAAAATGTGTGTGCCCTTCCTTATGGCTACTTATGTTATTTATTTATTTATTTATTTATTTATTTATTTATTTATTTATTTTCCACAGAGAGGAAGAGAGAGGGATAGAGAGTTAGAAACGTCGATGAGAGAGAATCATCGACCAGCTGCCTCCTGCACACCCCCTACTTGGGATGTGCCCGCAACCAAGGTACATGCCCTTGACCGGAATCGAACCCGGGACCTTTCAGTCCGCAGGCCGAAGCTCTATCCACTGAGCCAAACCGGTGCCCACCTACTTATGTTATTCTTAGTGGCAGTGGCAGCCCCAGCACTGTGATGGTGTGCAGGTGGGCAGAGGAGGAGTGGGATTCTAGAGAACAGGGCTGGTTCTGGCGGGGGGTCAGGGAAGGGTTATCCAGTGCTGGGCAAAGGATCTGGGCTGGTCCTAAGGGTGCTGAACTTAGTGCTTATGGTCAGTGCTGACACATGACTGAGCACAGTCCTGTCTTTTCCCCTCTTCCAGGAGGCCACCGGAAACTGTTGTACTATCTCAACGACGGCCACTATGGCAACTTTGGAATGATCCTCAGGGAGGGTTTTCCCAGGATGCCAATTGTGGTGAAGGTAAGGAGGCCCAGACCCTGACAGCATTGAGAGAGCACCTCTTCCCTGTGAGGCAGAGTGCAGTCTTAGATTACACATGGCTTTGCAGATTGTCATACCACATGCGTGTACAAGGATGTGCACGTCCGTGTGTGTGCATTTTTGTGTATGAGCATGCTGACTGAACCTGTGCAGGTAGGTGGTGGACAGGTACATGGTCCTGTGTGGGTGTGGAAGTGCATTGGTTTGCCTCTGGATTTCCATGTGATCTCTCTGAATGCACTGTGTGTGTGTGTGTGTGTGTGTGTGTGTGTGTGTGTGGTGTGTTATCAGAAACTTGAATGTTGGGGTGTAGGAGTCCTAAGAAATGGAGAGTCTCCATCTTTCTTCACAAAAAGTAGACTTATCTGGGAAGCTTCCAAGGACCCCGATGCTTGGGGAAGGCCAGACGATTGAAATTAGGCCTCTCATGGGTTGGGACGTGGCATCAATCCTTGGTTAAAACTACCCCCTAATGTGCAACTGAGTTTGACCCCATATTTTTAGTGATTAATGACTTAAATCTCTTGCTTTTAAAGATGGGAAACAGAGGCCCCCTGTATGTCTGTCCTTGAGATTTGGCAGGGCTATAATGTGTCACTTGAGTGATTATAAGCTCCATGAGGGCGGGGTCAGGAGCAGTGCCTGGCACATAGGGACTGGTTGGTGTGGGTGATGGCCTGTGTCCTTGCTGTGCCTGGGGGTGCTCTGCTGGCCGAGGGCATGGGCTGTGAGGGTGGTGGGGGCAGGAGCTCTTCCTCCTCTGATTCCCACCCCCGTGTCCCTGCAGGAGCTCTGCTCAAAGCCGCCCCTCTTCCCCTGCATCCTTTATGGTCCCACGTGTGATGCCTTTGACAAGCTCTTCAATGAGGAAGTGCAGCTGCCTGAGCTGGACGTGGGTGACTGGCTCATCTTCCCCTCCATGGGCGCCTATAGTGCAGTTCTGAGCTCCACCTTCAATGGCTTCCTGCCTGCCTCCATCTGCTACATCGTGGGACCTAAGCTCAGGTATATGAGGAGAGCTCAAGGATCTGAACTTGGCACAGGGAGCTGATGGCTAAGATCTGGGTTCCCAGGTTCAGGAAACATCATACTCCCCCAATAGCCACAGAAAACATCCAAGTGACATACACTGCCTATGGGGTGACCTTTTATACCCATTACCCATATAAGTCCAAGGCAGCCCAGCTGGGCAGCTGTGACAGCTCAGACATTTAACACCTCTGTGTACACAAGTTGACATCTTTAAGGCCCCTGTCACCCTAAAGTCTTGGCCAAGTCCCCACTCTTCTCTGACCATTTGTGGCTGTTCCCTGCTTCCCTCATTCGAAGCCACTTCCCTACCAGCCTCAGGTTCCCTCACAGGCTCTGCCCAAGGGGCTCCTTTTAGTCCAATATAAGGTTCACTCCCCAAGGTGATGGGGGCTTCTAGAACACCCCTTTACTGGTACAATCTTTCCACAGGAGCCTGCTTCAGACAGCGCCTTAAGCTGGGACATGGCAGAATGGAATGGTTCCAGACACTTGGTGCGCCCACCTGGGAAAGCTTGGGGTGGAGGTGGGGGTGGGGTGGGGAAGAGTAACTTGGGAAGCAGAGGTTTGGTTGCCTCTGAAATGATGAGATATCTTTTCAGGTTCAAAACCATTTTCACCCCAATGTTGGCCTGAAACACAGGCAAACGCTTCTGGGCAGAAGACTACCCTTGTGCTTCTTACTCCTGAGCCCTGCAGTAGGGTAGGCTTGAGAAACTAATGTTATTACAACACACGCTCCCTGAAGGGGGCCTGGACTGTGAAGGAACCTGCCTTGGCCAGTACCTTGAATTTCTTTCATCCCTCTTTTAATTAAAAAAAATATATTAAAATTGATTTTTAGAGAGAGAGGAAGGGAAAGAGAGACAAATATCGATGTGAGAGGGGAACATCAATTGGCTATCTTCTACATATCCCTTACTAGGGTCAAATCAGGTCACAACCTAGGATTGTACCCTGACCCAGAATGGAACCAGCAACCTTTCAATGCTTTGTAAAATGCCCAATCAACTGAGCCCCACTGGCCAGGATTCATCCCTCCTTTTATCGAGTTAGTGACCCCTGTGTTCTTCCAGAAATGTTCACATGCACTCCAGGCACCCATTCTACTGCCAAGAACACCGGCTCTGGAGTCAGACCTGTAGCAAATCCAGGCTCCACCACAAACTGGCAGTGTGGTCAGAGCCTCAGTTTCTCCATCGATGCCATGAGAATAATATTAGTTAGTACCCTCCTGGCATGGCTGTTGAGGGGATTAAGTCAGATAATGTAAAGCCTCATTCAGGTCAGTTCATGTCCAGAACTCTGCCTCAGGTTGGCTTTGATCCTGGACCTTTCCTACACAGAGACCACTCCCTGCCCCCTTGGTCTGGGCATCCTCAGGGAGCATGTATTGCATCTAGCCATACAGGCATTTGTCCAGGCATGTGGGTGACTGTCCTGGCACTGGCCTTAAGAAATCCCCAGTTTGACAGGTGGGAGGACAAGGAATGGGAATATCTAATTCCAAAATAAGACAGGTACTACTGTGTGTCTCCCAGGTTTAGAAACTATATTTGGGAAGTTCTGAGCTGAGAAAAGAAAACGAGTCCTACAGCAAGGACACTGGCAGAGGTAGGGCAGTGGATTCCATAGGAAAAGCCACTCACCTCCTGTGTCCTGTATCCTTTTTAAGCTTCACCTGATGTGACTTCTCCGATCCTCAGCTCCTGCAAATGATCCTCGGCATCCACTATAGTCATCCCCACCAATCTCACTGCTGCCTCCACACTCAGCTAAGACCAGGGGTATTCTCCAACATCCTTGTGCTGAAGACATCTCAGCTCCAGACATCAGAGGAGAAAGGATGGGCTGCAGATGCCATCGACGGAAGCCAGAGGGCTCTAGCAGCCTTCAGATCCTGTGTTACTCATTCGTCTACTCCCAGATTCTGAATTTTAAGCTATAAACAACTACACTTATCCCCCCCAGAGGTGTCTGGAAGAGCAAATATGAGTTGGCTTTAGGTAAAAATAAAATTACATTTATATGCAAGAATTGCTGGAGTGTTTTGTGCTCTGCTCTATAGGTGTTGCCCTGTGGCATTTTGGATATCAACTCATCTGCCCATTTATTCATGAATCCATTCATCCATCCATTGATCATTCATCAGTCTTTCCATCCTTTCATCCATTGATCCATCCATCCATCCATCCATCCATTCATCCATCCATCTATCCTCTGACCATCAATTGATCCATTTATCCAACTGTGCTCCCATCCATAAAATGAAATGTGAGGGCCTAGTCTGTGATGGTGTTATTCTAGGCAAGGTTATACATGATGAATAAGATGTGCAGAACCTATCCTCATGGAGCTTACCTTCCATTTTCTTCCATTGGAAAAATCAGAGCAGGAACAAACATATAAATGATAAAATAAAGTGGAAGCAACAAGTATCGTAAAGAAAAAATAAACAGGGCAAAGGGATATGGAAGGATAGGGGATGGTGCATTATTAAAAAAAACCACACATGTTTTCATTGATTTTAGAGAGCAAAGAAAGGAGACAGAGGGAAAGAGAAACACCCATATCTATTATTTGCCTCTAGTATGGGATCGAATCAGAGACCTGGATATTGCCTTGACTGGGAATTGAACATGGGACTCTTTCATGGAAGGAGTGATGTTCCAACCAAGTGAGCAACACCAGCCAGAGTAAGGATAGAGCAATTTTAAATAGAAGGTCAGTGAGGTCTTTGAAGATTTGGCATTTCAGCAGAGACAAAAGGGAGCTGTGTGTGGCTAGCTGGGGGCAAGGTGACCTGTGTGGATGAGTGCTAGGGTCTTTCTCAGCATGTACTAGGGTTGGGAAATCTGGAGAAAAGGCTGTGATGCAAATGAATAAAGAGGCTAGAGAAGAAATATGTATTTGGGAGGCATGGGGGAAAGCCAGGGGAGGCTTACCTTTAGTATCTAAACTCCGCAAAAATTCAGAGTGAAAGCTTTTATTCCCACATTTTCCCATATAGCAAATAGAGATACTTATCAAAGGTAAGGTTTGGTAAACAGTAAAATACAAATGGGTTGGGGAAAATGCGAACAGCTGCCCAGCAGCAGGTATTAACGTGCAGATTTTTAGCCCTGCTAAATCCCCAAGATTCACCAACCTGTTGATGAACTTCTTGCATTTATAGCTTGCTGGAATTAGCCTCCAGTATATCCCCCTTCTTTGGTTTAATAAATTTAACAAGAATGTATGTCATTTGCAGAGCTCGGGTCCTTTTTAGACTTTTAAATTCAATGGAAAGGATAGAGTTCTATCATGTCCTTTTTAATTGCTGCCAGGCATGGAAGGAATCAGTCTGCAGTAAGCTGGTCAACAGTCCTTTGAGTCCCCTTTCCAATGCCCAACAGTTTTTTATAGGTTCCCTTTCCAGTCACTGTTCCTGGTGACATGACAGCTGCAGGAAGCCACCCATTGTCTTCACTATCAGAAAGCTGTAAACAAGGATCCTGGAATGCTGGTGAACCTTGAGCCTCTGGCAAGGGGCAGAACTATGTACCAATTGTTTAGTCCAGACTCTGAGGGAGAGATTAAAGTTATATTAGGATGCAATCATTTTATGTAAATTACTCCAGGACAAAGAATTGCTCAGATACTGCTTTTACTTTATGTTCAGCAAGGCAAGGCTATAAATAGAAAAAGAGGAATGCAAGAATTTCGAAGCTCAGACATCTATTAGATACAGAAAATTTGCAAAACCTACCCTATGATTAATTTAAGAATAGAAGGAAAGCTTTTTAAAGATTTAGTAGACACTGGAGCAGATGTCAGTGTTATCAGCAAAGAATTCTGGCCTCCAAGTTGGTCCATGGTAGAAATTATGGGGTCAGTTAGGGGGGTGGGAGTTCCTGATAACACACAACCTAGTGCTGCCGTGCTATAGTGGCATGATAAGAAAGGACAGACAGTATGGTTTTAGCCCTACATAGTCTTTGGAATTGCAATCAATTTATGGGGCTGGGATGTTTTAGAAAGTTTATAAGCTTGTATTATTAGCAGCAAAGGACAGCAAGTAATAACTCAGATGGGATATCTGACTGGTGAGGGCTTAGGGAAAAATAATCAGGGAATTAAAGAGCCCAACCAAGCCAAAGGAAACCTAGGAAGATGAAGATTAGGATATCAACCATTTTAGGAGTGGTTACTGCTCAGTCTCCTCAGCCCCATGCTGATCCTATACAATGGAATGATGATAGACCTATATGGGTGGATCAGTGGCCATTAACCAAGGAGAAATTAGGTCATATTCGTGAATTAATACAGGAACAAATAGAAGGTGGTCACATAGAGCCTTCCAATAGCCCTTGGAATACGCCCATATGTACTATCCCTAAGAAGGTTCAGGAAAATAGTGATTGTTACATGATCTTAGAGTGGTTAACGCTACTATGTATTGTTTTTTCACCATTCCGTTGGCAGCTCAAGATAAAGATTTGACTTTTCAGTGCCATCTATTAATAACATAGAACTGCCAAAAACAGTTTGGCTCAGTGGATAGAGCGTCCATCTGCAGACAGAAAAGATCCCAGGTTTGATTCTGATCAAGGGCATGTACTTTGGTTGCAGGCACATCCCCAGCAGGAGTGTGCAGGAGGCCGCTGGTATGTTTCTAGCTCTTTATCCCTCTTCCTTCCTCTCTGGGGGGAAAAAAAAAAATAAAAAAAAAATAAATCAATAAAATATATTTAAAAAAAATAACAGAACTCATGAAAATATATCAATGGAAAGTTTTGCCTCAAGGGGTAGCCAATTGCCCCACCTTGCGTCAAAAAATATGTAGCTCAAGCTGTTCACCCTTTAAGGGACAAATACTCTCAATGTTAATTACTCATTACATGAATGACTTGCTCTTAGCAAGTCCACGGGAAGAGCAGACTTTGGCAATGTTTTCCCAAGTAGAAAAGGAGCCCCCTAACTAGGGCTTAAAAATTGCTCCAGAAAAGGTACAGAAAGAGATGCCTTTCAAATATCTGGGAAGCTTAATTGAAAATCAATGCATTAGGCCCCAAAAGGTGGAAATAAGAAAAGATTGCCTTGGGAATGGAACCGGGACCTTGAGGGCCCACAGGCCAAGCTCTATCCACTGAGCCACATCGGCCATGACAAACTTTAGACTCTTCAGGTAAACACACATATTATACTTTGAAAGAGATAAAACTGAACGTAGAATGAAGCGAGCGGCATCTGGGACTGGCTTTCGGGCGGAAACCACAGCCACCTGAGCCGCGGAGGCGCTGGAGCGGGAGGCCCTGTGTGAGGCAGCGGCCCCGCTGTTGTGACTGAAGAAGGAGGCCAGGCTGCAGGGTCGGTCTCCAGGCTCTGGCTTAGCACATCGCGGGCCTCTCACCGAAGGCACAGGGCATGGAGCTCAAGGCGCCGGCCGCGCCCTCCCTAGCAGATGGCAGTGCTGAGCGAGGCACAGAGACGCGCCCACACCCCGTCCAGGGGCGGTTTAAACACCCTCCTCCTCAGGGTCCAGGAGCAGCTGATGCGGCAAAATCTCGCACAAGGGAGAGCAGAATGGAGGAGCGCAACAGCTTCTTCAGGCGCCGGGCCCAGCGGCTGCTTCCTCGCGCCTCCAGGCCCGTGGACGCCCTCGGGGAAGCTCCAGCCCGCGCAGCGCCCGCCCCGACGTGCCCGCGCAGCGCCCGCCCCACGTGCCCGCGCAGCGCCAGGGTAGGTCCTCTGGGAGAGCTGGTGCTCAGCTCGGGGCCAGGTGTGTGCTGGAAGATTCTTTCTTGTGAACAGCTAACTCCTGACTCGTTCAAGTTTGTGTGAAGTGAGCAGGAAATGAAACAGGTAACACGGCCTGTGAGATGACCTGACCCGGATGTGCATACAGGGCCGACCCCTGGACAGGAAGAGGGCAGCCCTTCGCAGGGGCCAGTGCTGAGGGGGACAGCCTCCTGGGGCCTTGTTCCATGGTCCGTGATGGGTGATACAGTGAGTGGGCCCGCCAGCTGTCTGCAGGCTGGCTGCTTCTCACCCACAGAAGCCGATGCCCCCAAACACCTACCAGTGCTGTGATGGTGCAAGGGGCGTCGTGTGCACTGTCTCATCCATCGTCCAACCAACATCCGGGACCGGGACTGGAGAAGCCAGGCTAAAGCGAGCAGAGAAGGGCTACCTCGGAGCTGGCTGCCTCACAGCCCCTAGCGACACAGGAACCGCCTGTCTGAGCGTCATGGCGTTTCCTGAAACAATTCACTGGGCCAGAGGCTGAGCCTGCATGGATCTTGCAGTCTTAGACACTGATTTCTGTTTTGTTGCACCTCCCTTTGCGCTGATGCTTTGGTTTTACAAAGACCCAGCCTGAAAGAGAACTCCAGGCAGCAGCTGGGTGTAGTGGGGACAGTGGCAAGGAAAGGGTCCAATCGAGAGGCTACCTAAAATACCGTTTTCTTCTCTTTCTTAAGAAAGGAAATATTGCCAAAACCGGTTTGGCTCAGTGGATAGAGCGTCAAGCTGCGGACTGGAGGGTCTCGGGTTCGATTCCGGTCAAGGGCATGTACCTTGGTTGCTGGGCACATCCCCAGTAGGGGGTGTGTGGGAGGCAGCTGATTGATGATTCTCTCTCATTGATGTTTCTAACCTCTACCCCTCTCTCTTCCTCTCTGTGAAAGATCAATAAAATGTATTAAAAAAAAGAAGAAAGGAAATATTTTAGGCTAGAATTACTCTCCTCATCAGAGAATGGACAATATCTTTGGTATTTCCTAAATCATGTTTTTTACAACTGGTGCAGGTACAGAGCCTAGCCAGGATTAGCATATGTTTGTGTTTGTTTTAGGGATTGTGGCAGCCATTCCACAGTGTTATCAGACTTAGAGAGAAATACAGTTCTTCCGAACCCTGCTCATAGAGGGAAGCCCCAGTGAGCTGCCCCAGGTGACACCATGTGGCAGAGCCTGGCCCTGCTCAAATTCCCGGTTTTAAACCACTAAGTTTTGGTGCACTTTGATACACAGGTAGAGCAGACAGAGTCAGATGTC